GCCAACCAGGGTTGCAGTTGCAGCAGTGGTGACGATGTCGTGCATCCACCTCCACTTGGGCCAGGCCGGAATCCAGCTGGGCGAGTCGTTTTGGAGGCTAGCGGAGGAGGAATTTTTCGTCGACGACGAGAGGGCGGCAGGCGGAGGCGACGGCAGCTACAATGGCAGGGGTAGTGGCCGTGCAAAACTGCCATCGAGAAAGCCGTCAATGCGGCGGATGCGGCCCGGAGGGACGGCCATGTTCCATGAAGACGACGGCAGGGCGAGGTGCCTGGTGGTGGATAGCGAGCCCAAGGTCAGGATCCAAGCGCGCGTTGGGGAGGGAGTGGGGGCTGTGGAATATCCTGGCCTGTTGACAGCGTATGTTTGCATCTCATGGTTTGGAGTTCCGTCTAGGTGCAGACAGCAAATGTAGCTCTCGCTATTAGATGCGCACGAGTGTGGGCAGGCACGCAGCCGCGGAGTTCAAAGTCAGGAGGAGTTCGGAGGGCAAAGTCGTACGTAAGAGGGCTGTTAGAGGAGCCATATATTCGACGGCGATTCGCCACTTAGAGCCCCCAAGGCCTTGCGGGCACATGTTGGAGCACGAAACCGTTCCCGCGTTGTGAATAAATTGCTTCAGTAGTGTACCCTTGATTTCGAATCACCGTTTTTTGACAGGTGGTGCAACGCTTCCAACGTCGCGTGGAGTCACTTCGGCCGGAGAACGCTATCTACTCGCAGAGCGGTCTGGCCAATAACTGGGCCATGGGTTTCGCTTCTTGCAGGCATGGCCGCGTCGGTGGTGGTGGTGGTGGCGGCAGTAACAGTGGGGAAGCTTGTATGAACGCGTGTTTAGCTGGCGAGACTAGCTACCTCTTATTAGGTATTCAAGTGTTGAAAACCTTTGTAACTGCCAGTAGGGCGAACCCATGATGTTCCCGGATGTAAACTCATCAAGAAATCGAGGGTGAAGAGAAACATACCACGACGGGATGCGTGTGAATATGCTAAGCATGGACGTCTTTTGCATCGTTGGGCATAGAATTTTTTGGCATCAGCTCCACGTCTCCTGCAGTATGTATTCAACAGCAGGGGCTCGAACGCTTTTGCGTGAGCAGCAGGTGGATGCATGTCGGGCTATAAATAATCCAAGACATACTGAACATATCGCCTCGAAATGCTCCAGATCCGATGTTGGAGGGGAAGAGGGCCCGTTCTCTCGCTGCATGGAGGGGATGCGGAAAGAGGCAGAGCGGTCTTGCTGGCTTAACAGCGCCGTGATGACGCACAGCTTGGCGGGCGGGACGGGCTCAGGCCTTGGCTCGGGTCTGCTCCAGGTGAGATGAGACGGTGCACTCGACACCCTGCTGCAATGCGTGCTTGTTGTTGCAAACGGGTCATTCTGCGGTAGTGCTGATCTCTTAAGTGAAGAAAATTAAGGTTCAGAATGGTGGCTTGCACCAGAGGTCTTCACGGTGGCGAACTTTGCGCAGGGGAATCATGAGCACGACTCGACGAGCAGAAGGAGAAACTAGCATGTAAAAGTCGTTGCAGTAGTCGTAAAGTTGCAATTGATACTTCACTTCCTCGTGCCGAGGGTCCCGATCAATTACCTCGCTCCCCCCCTCCCGCCCCCCCTCTGGGAAACACACGCGAATCCCATGGGGAAAAAAAGGCGCTGCGCGACGAGTACCCATCCCTGTACCTCATATCAGCCTGCGTGGGACCCTTCGGTACCGGGGACAGCCCTCTGCAGCACTACAACTCCGCGCTGGCTCTCCAGCACCTTCAGGCCTACGCCGACTGCGTGATCTACCGGGGGAACGACGACCTCCTCCGCGGGGCCGCTGAGGCATCGGCCAGGATAAGCGCGGCAACGTCTTCGCCGGCGGCGTCCGATTCACGGTGGGCGGCGGGCGGCGGACCCCGAAGCGGCGGCGGGGCCGCGGGGTGGCGCCCGGTCGGTCTGTTGTCGAGACACGGCGGTAGTGGCGGCGGGGGTGGGGGTGGTGGTGGTGCCTCGGGAAGGGGAAGGATGGTCGTTTCCACGGCGGACATGAACGCCTCCCTGTCTCTGGACATGGCGTCCTACTTCTTCCCGACCAGCCGGCCGTTTGACCGCTTCGAACCCGCGCCGCCGACGGTAGAAGGCCGCCCCCGCTCCCATTACCAGAAGCAGCGGCAGCAGCAGCAACGTCAAGAGATGGCGCAGAGGCCCTTCGATGGGGGCTCTCTGATGGCAGCCGCCGTCCCTCTCCCTGCGGCGAAGTTCGTGGACTTGCGTTCGACGCTCTCCGCCGGACCCCTTGCTTCTGATCGTGGTGGCGTTGATCAGGGCCTGTTCTCGTCGTCATCGCTACCGTCCTCGTCGGCAACGAAGAAAAACTGGGCAGCGCTCGCCAACGACCACGGGAGAAAGGTGCCTCTCTGCCCGCGGAGGGCGGGCGGGCTCGACGACGACGCTTGCATCGCGGCGCACCACCTCATTCGCGGGGCCACCTTTGGCGCGGCAGAAACCGGTGCTGCTGCTGCTGCCCGTAACGGTGGAGGTATGAGCGCTGGACGTGCCTTGGAGTCCAACAGCCGACGGCGAAGAAGTCGCGGCGGCGGGCGTGTTGCGGGGACCCCCCCGGCGGTAGCTTCAGCAGTGGCGACTGGAGCGGGGACGATGGCGGCTTCGGCCGAGGAAATCGGCGAGGCGTTGCGACGGCATCACGAGTGCCAGGAGTGGCGGACTGCGAGCGATGTCTCTTGCGCTCCCGGTACGAAGAATTACAGTTCCGGGGAATGTGGGAGGGGGCAAACATCTTCATGCAGAATTTAATTTTCAAGAAGCACACATGTTTACCACGCGGTCGAGCTGACTCACTCAGTTGACAATGAAATATGATCCCTTTCTAGGTTGGGTTCAGCGGGAATAGTGAACGGATGCGTACGTTGGTTCATTCAGCTGAGTGCGCGGTGGCACTTTCTGTGGTTCTCGGGGCCCATCGTAGATCACCGGGGCGTTAGATGGAAACGACGATTGATCCAGTCAGTAATGCTATTCATAGAGCTAGAGACCAGCCCGCCCAGCTCAACGCGGTTGACATGGAACGGACCTTTGGAAGTACTAGTACAACTATTGATAGTACCACTATGGCTGCTGTACCATCGTTATTTCACTCCCTCGTCGTCTTCACACGCGCTCGGTTCCATGCACACACGCAGCCCTACGCTCCCAAGGGGTGTTGCGATCCGTGACGACGGTGTGCAACCAGACGAGAATACGCGGGGTCCTCGGCGACGTGGTCGAGCGAGCGGAGGGCAAGTTCCGGGCCAGGGCTTACCTACACTGGTAGGTGAAGGATGTACTACCAATGCGGCGATCACATCAACACAATATAACATCTACCTGCAGAGAAGGGATCAAAGGTTTCCCGACAGCTGAACCCATGGTCTTAGACAGACCTCAACAGTTGTCAATACTGACCCGTAACAGCAATTGCTTCCGTATTAACCAGTTTCCGCACCACCGGTGGACACAGGTTGCACCGGATTCTCCGTCAAAGTTTACAGTGTTGGGGGGGGGTTCCGGAAGTATGTTTTGAGCATTTTGAAAGTGTAGGCGAAAACGGAAAATGAGCGTGTGTAGCGTTCTGTCGCCCGTGTGACTTCTAGCAACCTTCGGCGTGAGATGGTGGAGAGAGGGATGAGCGAGAGCTTTAGAAAGTGGGTTGACGGGGTGGAGAACCTTCGTAAGTCTTTCGAGAAGCTTGAGAGGCTCAAGAAATGTTTGTGGTTCTCAACGACCCAAAACTCCTTCGAAGTGACATGTTGAGAGAGGGACGGAGGGTGCCCGCCTTTCACTTGTACAGGACGGTTGGTTATTCAATAGGTCGAAGAGTCGGGACTTATCGCGATCGAGAACAGATAGCAGGCCCGTATTCGTACAAGTACTTTTTGAACCAATTGCCGTCATTCATTCGTTCGCTCAATCCAAAACAAAAACATGCTCCCTGATCTTCAAATCGTGCTGAGAAAACGTGTTTCTGCGACGCGTGTTGCCATCTGGTGTGCGAACAACCTTGGCAATCCGGCATGATAAATCGAATTGAACCCGACGCTGACGAAGGAATGACACGTTCATATAAATGCAACTATCATGAGGCGAGTTTCGGACCTCTCACGTAGGTACGCCTACTTTCTGCGGGCGCCGAACTACTTCCTTCCTTCTCTCCTCGTGCTCTGTCCCTCGAGGTACTACCGACATGGTTTGGAAGACGAGGACTTTCTGGCAGCCTTTGAGGGCGTGCGAACGGTGAAGCGTGGCTACGATGGACTCGCTAGGGCGTTCGGTGGCTCCAACAGCAGCGGAGAAGCAAGAATCGTGTGGTAGCCACAGCAGGGATGCAGCAGCAATACATGCACGTGCAAACGCAGGAACGACACCTGGACGAGACATTAGGCGAGAATAGGGTGGTGCTTGTACTTCAAGCGGGATTCAGGACGGAGCACAAAACCAAGACATGAAGGTCCGGGAGATGGTTCATCTTTTGGTGTTACCTCGTGATTTCCATCAAAACTACTCTAATCAGCAAACGACGGGTGCTGCCAAGAAGGATGGGTGCGGGGCAAACCCACTTCGTGACACGGAAATGCCTCTCGTTCCGTCCAGAAATACACCCTTGCCCACAGCGTGCACGAACGCGTGACGCCATGACGTGCCCGTATCTCAGCGTTTGTCCTTGCCGCACAACCCGTCATCGCGCTGAGCAACGCGATCAAATAGTTGGCAGTGAAAGTCCACCTACCGGGAAGGTTTCCTCGAGGGCTTCGTCCAGCGAGGCCAACCAACACCTTCCGACAAGTGGCTGGTGCGAAGCCTCGCCGAGGTGCGACGTGCATGCGTGTCAGATGGATGTTGTGCAGGTGTCGCCTGCGTCAGTCCAGGAGGTACTGTAGTGCCGCCGCTCAAGTTCTTCGAGCCGTTTGGTTCAATGCACGTATTTCCCTCGAAACGATAGGGACAGCGTTTGGGGGACACGTTTGGAAGGAGCGGCGTTTACTTTTCGGCAGCTGCAGCAGGTGCGAGCTACAGAAGGACTTCATAAAGACGTCTGTGGAACCATACCCCAACCGTGGTCTCTTCGCCAGCAGCATTGTTCGCCCTCCTTGGTTAAACAGTGCAAATTACAGAGTCACGATACGGAGAGGTGAACAACCATTGTGGGGCGGGATTCGTTACGTCCAAAACAATAGCATAACACATAATTTCCTCCAACTATTCACAAACCTTCAAACGAAGTTCACCGTCCTACATACCATCGTAGCTCAGAGAAAAAAACAAGGGACAAGCTCTCTACTTCTTTCCACAACACAAATTTCCACCTCCGACACAAAAAGGCACTACGTTAGCATACCAACAACACTACCAACAAGAACCACCACAGGCGGCGGTGGATGATACCAGGCCGCAGCTGTACCCGGGGAAAAAAAGGGGATGCGATATTTCGTGTGGCCTCGCTTCAACCTTCGCCGGCCGCCATTTAAGACCAGCAGGGAATGTTCGGAAGACCTGCCAGCTGGCAGAGACATGGGGGTTCACACGCCAAAAGGGACGAAAAAGCTAGAATATCAACACATGACTGTCAGCGGCCACGGTAACACTGCACCACGTACGCAACGCTTCCCGGCCTTCTTAATTTTCTTCCCAGCTGCCCAAGCCCCCGCCCGCCCCCTCACACCTACCAGCCGTGCCAACTTAATCAAGACAGCAAGCAACACTCCGTAAAACGTGAAGCCACATACTAGACTAATTGAATTACACGCCCAAGGTCTCCTCAACAGAACCCGCCGTCCGGCGGCGAGGCTTTGGGGCAGGGGCCGCTGCCGCGGCTCCCTCGTCTGCCGACGACGTAAACACGTCATCCTCGAGGTCCGTGATGGGGGTGTCTTTCACTCCGCCTTCGCGGTCTTTGATCGCCTCCTCCAGCAGATGAGCACGGACCTTACACAGACGATGTAGATGAGAGGGGGGGGGGGGGGGAACGCCGGAACAGAGGGTGGGAAAACCGGAGCCAACAAAAGGCGGCGGCGTTTTGTAAGGGGACAGAGGCTGAGAAAATCGGGGGGCGTTTGTGCAAGCAACCATACATCAGAAAGGTCCGTTCGTATTCCTGTGCAGAAACGAGGGCGGGAGGTTGAGCGGGGCGCCCTCACGTTGATTCATTTTGCCTCGAAGCCCTTCTACCGTTGACGTGAGCACACCGGTTTCTCTCGACAAAGCACCTTCAGTTCCTGTTGCAAGCAGACACAAACACGTTCTTCCACATCTTCCTGCGTCAGGAAACGGCGCCACCGCTCTTTGGTCGAAGACAACCAGATTTTTTCAAACATCTAGACAGGAGCAACGGGAGAGAGAGAACCGCACCGTTCAAATCCATTCAACCTCTGTCTTCTCTGAATCAGCAATCTAAGGAAGCTCCTGTCTTCAAATCTGGACAGGCATTGTTGTGTGTGCCGCAGTGCTGTCATCAAAGCCCATATTTTGATACTGCTGAGCCGGCAAGCAGCCGCCAGCGGTCTCTTGCGGCTTGTACTGATGCTCGTCGTTCTTACCTGGCCTTGCAACGTCTCCCTCAACGCCTGGTTCTCCTTAAGGTGTGCCACCGTGTTCAAGCGACCCTGGAACATCACCCGTTCACGGAAACAACCAGGAAGGAATCCGCAAAACAAACGGGGGAGGATGCAAGCACATCAGGAACAGCGTCAGAGGAAAAAGGGTTGGGCGAAGACTCACGAGAAGAGAGAGACGCGAGCCAATAACCCCTCGTCAACTCGTGTGTCTTGGAACTGCGAAGCCCGCGGGATACATACAGACAACACACCCTGGGAGCGAACAAAAGGCGACAGACCTTCACAGCGCGAACTCGCTATTCCCCGCACTCGTGTAGTGATGCTTCGGCATTCTACGCACACAGTGACAAACACTTATTTATGCCGAAAACGCCCAACAAGACACACGCATACAACACACCTGTCCCCAGCCAAGAGGGATTGGGTTATTGGTACCAAAACACTCAAAGGCCAACAGCAGAAGTTGTGACAAAAAAGTTGCGGGCCGCACGAAATATATTGCCGCTCCACTCTATTACGTAGTAGCTGATTTTCATATTTTCAGAGTTTTCAAAAATAATACGCAGTTTGTTGTAGTTGCATCGACGGGTACCTCAGCCTTGGCGGCATCGCACCTGGGAGACGTTCTTGCCCTCGTAGCTGTACCACGAGCCCTTGCGAGTGAAGAAACCCGCGTCCTCCGCCGCGTCGAGCAGGCAGCTGACCGTGTCAATGCCAGTGCCGAACAGGATGTCCATCTCCACCACTCGGAATGGCGGCGCTATCTTGTTCTTCGCCACCTTGCAGAGGCAGACGCACCACGCAGCAGCAAAAAGAAGTGACCGACACGGTTGAGCAAACCACACAACACGGACGAAGGAACAAAGAGCTTTCATGATTGTGACCACTCGCGCGGAGAGGACCCAACGAAGAACCCACCGCATGCGTCGCGACTGCTCCCAAGCACGCGCACAGGCAAAAAAAAGCAAGGCCTAAGACGAAACCGCGCGCGCATTCAGAAAAAAACAACGCGTGAGCCCCAAGTTTCTCGAGGAGCAAAAAGGACAGCTCCAGAGGTACAGGCAAGGCACGGGGACCCCATCCTACCCCATCCTCTCCGGCCATTTTCCACCTCCCCAGATGCCCCCCCCCCCCCGGTGTTCATGTTTGCCATCAGGGTTGGGTTTTCGTCGCTTGGCAACGACGTTGTAAAACAAGCCGCCGCCCCCGGTGTTTGCCATCGGGGTTGGGCTTTCGTCGCTTGGCAGCGAGGTTGTAAAGCAAGCCGATCACTTCGTGGACTCGGCAACCAGGTTACCTTTTTTTTTTTACCTCCGTTTTTTTTTACGGTAACATTAATGGTGGTCGAGTAGATCATGTTGTGCAGGGTCGAGAAGCCTCACTCCGCGCAAGGGGGATGATCGCACCACGTTGTGTTAAAATGGTCAAGCACCCTCGAGGCAGTTACACAGTGCTTATAACTGTCTCTGGAAGTGAAAGCATCAGTGAATAAATTAACTCATACGCAGCTGGCATCCGTACGCAAGGAAGTAAGCACAAGATGCCGAACACCCTTAGCAGGATGCAGCGCACCCTTCATGCGACTCGCCGAATATCTCACGGCGCTTCGTGCTTCGTGATGTGAGGGCCTGGTCCGGTGAGAACCCGGCGTGCTCCGTCCCGGCTTTGTAGGGATGCGAGGTCAACGGTCTAACGACTACGGCATGCACGACCATAAGCACACATCCCCAGACGGCCATCGGAAAAAAGGGACGCCACAACGCCGTCCTGACCTCTCCCCTTTTCCGTGCCAGTAACCCATTCCTGCTTGTGCTCGCTCACCTTGACTTTGACGGTGATGCCGGCGTTGTCGCGAAGAGACTCCTTGCGTCGGACGTCTAGCCGGACGCTGGAGTAGTACTTGAGCGCGTTCCCGCCTGAACACGGCACGCGACGCGTTCGAACGCACACGCACACCCCAAGAAAGAAAAGAGAGTCGCCATCAGCCTATCATTGCCCACGTAGTCCCCAGTCCAAACCCGTCTCGATGTACCAGCGGCACCAAAAATAAAAAATAACGAAGATCGAAATTCTGGTCCACTTCGTCCGGGTACAAAACGATTGTCCGACAGCAGCGGGAGCTGCCGAGCTGCGCCGGGCGGCATCCAATACGACCCGAAGGCACTTGGCACCATGAATGTTTTTCCTCGCCCGCCGTCACGTGTTCAACCGACTAGCTTGGCTCTTTCGCTCGGCCTCACGCCCACGCACGTCTCCCTCCTGCTTCGTTGGAACATCCGATGTCGAGCTTATCCTGCTTACAGCGTAGTGAAAATACCAAATACCTAGCAACAGCTATGCCATGAACAGCGGCAGCTGCCTACATGAAGAGCGATGGGGCCACTCACCGCTCGTAACCTCCGGGCTGCCGTAGATTACCCCGATCTTGGAGCGAAGCTGGTTTAGGAAGACAACCGTGCACTGCGACTTGGAGAGAGAACCGGTAACCTTCCTCATGGCCTATGCATCGCGGGCGAGGGGGGGGGAGGTAGTCAACGCCCTAGCACCCGTGACGCAAAGAAACCGAAAACAAACTTGCTGACAAGTTAAACGCATTCACGAAAAAATGTATTCCTGCACGATATGTAGCTGCTTCCAATACGCGTACCGATGCGCTGGTGGAGATTGCTCTACAAGTCGTTCGTTCCGTAATTCCAGTCTTGGTCGACAACAACAATCGACGGACGACACAAAACAACAGGTGAGTCCTATCCTAGTAGCCAACGCACGCGGGAGCGGTCCTTCCAGCACTCAATATTAACCTTACGTGAGATGGACACATCCAACGGGTTGATGAACAGGCCTGCGAGATGCCAGCCACGGGAGTAAAAAGATGCATATACAACCGCATGCCGCTACGGTTACAACGCTTGTTACGGTTTGCCACATGATTGTCCCCTTTTTTCCGTCCTCTCCACACGCGCGCTACACCCACCTTGCTCATGAGGCGAGCCTGGAGCCCCATCTGCATGTCGGCCATCTCCCCCTCAAGCTCAGCTCGGGGCACGAGCGCCGCCACGCTGTCAACCACTACCATGTCGACGGCGTTCGAACGCACCAGCTGATCAACGACATCCAGGGCCATCTCGCCTGAGGCAAGCAGCGCACGCGGATCGGATCCGTCGTGCCCAACGGCGGTATTTGGGTTTTGCACCGAGGCAGCGGAGGCGTTGGTGGGATGATAGGGGGGCTCGATCGCGACTTTTTCATCAAACAGCCGACATGCGTCCCGAGGACACGCGATGCGAGATGGCCAGAGAGCGACCAGTAATTCTAGACGCCATCTCACAAAAGTGCCCCCTCCCCCCCCCAAAACTCTCCGGCGTGAGATCCAAAATGGATCGGACGGTGGAGGGGGGG